CATTATCTGTCTGCTAGAATGACAACAGAAAAATTCCAAAAGCTGATCTGGAAATTTTTTAAACCAACATAATGACGGTTGGTTTTTTTCCTGTGTTGAGAGTGTCAGTCTCTTGTGTTTGAAAGCTGAATCTGTGTCTGGGAGGATATGCCTTGTGGTGGGTTCCTGCTGGGCTGGGACAGCCTGCAAGCCCTCACTGTGAGGAGCACCAGCTAACCCTGGTACTTCTCTGTTCTGCTCCTTCTGCAGCTGAATTTGGGTGGCTCCGTAGGATTTGCTATCTGATCTTGTGAGAAAATGGCTTTTGGGAGGTTTTTGCCACAGAACCTCGTACAAACTGCCTGTGGTCACTGGCAAAGTGTGTAGTGACTGATAAAAAAACCCAAATTCACCTTACAAATGCTTACAGTGCTTCTCTAGAATACTGAAATGGGGATGGGTGTCTCTGTAATACTATCATTAAGGCCATTTAGATTTCTTGTTGCTAATCACCTTAAACTGCACTCAGAATAAGTAGGTTCACCTCAGGTGGTATGTTTGATCCAGAATGCAGTCTGTCTGTGGTTTTGCCTATACTGCAGAATTAAGAATTACAGTTTTAATTGATTGTAAGCTAATGGTGTAAACCATGGCATGTAATAATTTGGTTTAAATGTGCTTATGCTCAGATAGTTTAGATTAGCACTGGAAACTGAAGGAAGTCCACTTTTAGCACTGCTGTAATAGCAAACATTGAAATTAATGGATTTTACATGTAATCTTACAGTGCTTTTTCTTTCTGGAGTTGAACTGTACATACTTTATGTAATTTCTTTTCCCAATAATGACTTGGTTCAACCTCTTCAGTATAAAATTCAGCAGTGTATACATGTGGAAAATTCATACATTTAGATCACTATAGTAAAGGAGAACACTATTCTTTGTACATTAAATCGATGCATTGATCTTAAAACTAGGAGTTAAAAGCAGGRCATATCAACATATCAAATGCAGTAAGAAAAAGTATAGAATGAGCCCAGAAGTATCTACTTTCAGTGAAAGATGGAAAACTGTATTTAAGTGATTTTTTTAAAGGAGTGTCACATGATGGTCATCAACAGTAACGAATTGCAGAGGCACTGCCAAAGCCAGAGTTGTTAGAGATATGCATCAAAAATGCTATTATATTGGCTAACAGAGTTCAAAAGCTAAGGAGCAAAGCTCATGTTAATGACTTGTGGTTAGGTGGCATTCAGGGCAAGACTTCCTCATAAGGTGGTTTGTAGGACTTGGACCTGTTGATTCCAGTTAGTGCCAACATAACAGGATCTTAGTTCKACCAACATGTTTTAAACTATTGTTTTTTCAAACCTTGTGCTTAAGCAATTAAGATGCAGAATTTTCTATGATTTTGTATGCATTGAGCAGAAGAGCTTCATTAAAGACAGATTTTTACACAGTTGTCTTTTCACTTAGCCAATCACCTTTGAACTGAGCAGRGGAAAAGGATTTTTGAAAGCTAGAAGTAATGATATCTATAATTTGTGAAACTAAAAATGAGAGTGGGAATGCAGTAGCAATATAATCTGGTTTTTCTTTAAGATGTAGGTATTGGTAAACAAATGTTTTCTGGCTTTTCTAATATGTATGCAAAGATTTTTGAACATATTGCATATGAATAGAGGTAGTAGTTACATTTTGCCATTCCTATTAGTTCCTTTCTCAAACTGAAGGCTTTAACAGATGTACTTTATATAGACCCCAATGATTAATGGAATTCTGTCATACCTTGGTAAGGACTCACCTATGGATTGGATGAGCTTGAACTCATCCAGAGAGGACCCAATGACCTGCTGGTGGGTGAGGGAAAGGCTGTGCAGTCTGTCTGGACTTCATAAAGCCTTTGGCCCCGTCTCCTACTGCATTCTCCTGGAGAAGCTGCAGCCCTTGGCTTGGACAAGTGCACTCTGTGCTGGGTTAAAAACTGTCTGCATGTCTGGGCCCAGAGCGTGGTGCTGAATGGTGCCACATGCAGCTGGGACCTGTCACTAGTGTGTACCCAGGGATCACTGTTGGACCCAGTCCTGTTTGAGGTGTTTCCTGATGGTCTGGATGACAGCACTGAGGGCTGACAGGATTTAAGGCACCCTTGGGAAGCTCATGGRTAACACTGAGTTGGATGGCAGTGTTGATCTGCTGGAGCACACAAAGGCTCCACAGAGGGATCTGGAAAGGTTGGATTCATGGGCCAAGGCTGCTTGTGGGAGGCTCAGCAAGGCCAAGTGCTGGGTCCAGCCTTGGCTCACAACAACCCCCTGCAGCACTACAGGCTGGGGCAGAGGGGCTGGAAAGCTGCCCAGCAGAAAGAACCTGGCAGTGCTGGTTGACAGTGGCTTGGTGTGAGCCCAGGTGTGCCCAGGTGGGCAAGAAGGCCAGTGGCACCTGGCACCTGGCCATGGCACCAGCAGTGGTGTGGCAGCAGGAGCAGGGCAGTGACCATTCCCCTGTGCTGGGGGTGTCCAGCTGTGGGCTCCTCAGTTCGGGATAGACATTGAAGTGCTGCAGGGAGACCAAAGAGGGACAACAAAGCTGGGGAGGGTCTGGAGCACAGGTCTGAGCTGGGGGTGTTTAGCCTGGAGAAAAGGAGGCTCAGGGGTGAACTTATCCCTCTCTACAACTATTGGAAGGAGGATGTAGCCAGGTGGGGGTCAGGCTCTTCTCCCAGGGAACAAGTGATAGGACAAGAAGATATGGCCTCAAGCTGCTCCAGAGAAGGTTTGGCTTGGACATTGGGAAGAATTTCTTCACTGAAAGGGTG